AAAAGGAAGAGAAATTGTCTAGTGAGCCAACTTTCCTAACAGCAGTCTTAATAATTGATTTAATATAATCTTTCTACTTCATGTCAGTGGAAAACGTTAGCCTGAAAGGGTGAAATGAGTCATTCTCTTGGAGGTTAGCATCAGCCATACTGATAGAAGAGAAAAAAGTTTCTCTAAGACGATTAAAAGAGTATAATTTTCTTCTGGGGGCGTTAAAACTAATAAGTCATTTCTTGCCCCAGTTAACAACTGATTGACGGTATTTTTTGAGATAAGCTGCCAACCTGACCGATCAGACTTAGAATTAAGACAGGAGTAAATAGTTGTGTCATCGGCATATATGTCGAGTTAATAAATGATGACATCGCGTAGGTTTTTGATGAAAATTAGGAACAATGATAGAGTCCTGGGAGGGTGACCCTGCATCAACGCAAAAAGAGTTTTGAAAAATAGCTGAATAGATGAGTGGCTGCATTGAAAATCGAAACCAATGACGTTGAAACCGAACTCTATTGGGGAAATAAAATCTGTGATACATAGCGAACAAACTGTTTCTAATATGGAAAGAATGGCAGGTGTGCCGTCTCGTATAAGCACAACTTACCGCTCAGGAGACACTAAGTACATTTTCAGATTAACGTCTCAAATGATTTATTTTAAGGATTACGAGAATTTTGAAAAAGATAAGGAATTACTGTAAATAGCTTTAGAAATCTATTTAATAATTTTAATCTCGAACCCACCTTCGTTAATTATTCTTTTAAAAACAGCGAATCTTGGACAATCTCCTCACAGAAATGATTGGAGCTACTGATAATGTGGTTCTACAGAATGATTCTGAGGATACCATGGGCCATATATGTGAGCAATGACAAAGTTTTAGAGAAAACGAAAACAAAATAGAAATATATACTTAACACCACGAAGACCAAGCATAGAAATGAATACAATATGAGAACCAGTAATAAGGAGTGCCAGAGAAAAGCGATAATAACAACAAAAAGTTGCAATATGAGCTCTGGTAAAAACAGAAAATGATAACAGCAAAAATTGCAATATGAGCACTGGTAAAAATGGTTACTGAGACATTAGGTTTATAATACCCAGAAATTTATACATAGATGTCCCCAGGGACACATGGCACAGTGGATAAAGGCGTTGGTTAGGACCCAAAGAATGTGAGTTTAATACCCGCTTAAGGCAGTGGAAAACTTCCAGAGGGAAATTAACTGGAGATAACTGATAACTAACATGGCACGTGGTACAGTCTACCCCAGTGAACGAAATAAAGGGTTCACCATATTACAACGGCCGAAACGTTGTAATAAATATGGTGACAAAGATGAGGACAAATACCTCATCTCAGAAATGTCAGAAATATAGACAGAAAGGCCGAAACGTTGTAATAAATATGGCGACAAAGATGAGGAAATAGTTTGAATAATGTAAATAGTGTACATAATACCTCATCTCAGAAATATAGTCAGAAATATAGACAGATAAGGAAGAGGGAGTTGAAAATTCTAGCACACATAATGAAGAAAGAAGGTTTGGAAATTATGATACTCAAAGGACAGGTGGACGGAAAAAGGACAAAGGAAAACAACTTACTTGGTGAGCTTTAGTAAATGAATGGCAGAACAGGGTGTAGGAGATATCCCCCCCCAAAAAAAAAAGAAGAGAAAATTTATTAAGAGCTACAAAAAGCATATCGGGATATATCAGATTGAAGGGATGTATCAGATTGAAGAAGGGGTGGTAGGAAGAGGAGGAGAAGAAGAAATACGAAGCTGAAGAAAGTTCATATAAAGCAGTGATGACCAAGAGATACAAATAAATCCAGACATGACTGACCCGTCAGGACATAAAGTTGATTAACGAACATTTCAATTCAGCTGGCCATTATTCAATATAGCCAAGCCAGTAAAATTGAAATGCATTATATTATCGCATGAAAACCCATAAAATGTTTCCTATCGTGAGAGGGTCGAATATTCCATGAGCAAAGGAAATAGGATAAAATCATCGAATTGTAAATGTTTTTAAACCTTGCCAAGAAATTCTATGTCACCTACAAAGATATGCACATTGTTCTACAAGTTCATGTAATTAATTAAAACGCTTTAAAAATAACAGGAACCTTCATCTACACGTTCTCTCTCTAATTTTCTTTTCCTGGCAAAAAGCTGCAAATCAGATATTCAGACATCTTTGCTCGACTTGATCAGTCTATGAGCTCGTAAAATCGGTGGTCAAAGGCAGACGGGAAGAAATGATCTTTTGTCTATGCACATCTGGACTTTTGATTAAATTGGAGAAAAGGAAATTTGAAACCAATTCTATAATTTAATATTGTTATATATATTTTGTTATAACATTAAGGGGTTTCGTAAATTAAACATTCCGGAATATTTAAAAAAATGAATTTCTAATATATGTTCACAATATTACACTTGTTTCTTTTTTTCTTCGAAATAAATGTCATTTACAAAATTAGTTT